TTAATTTTTTGGTCGGTGTTTACAAATTTATGGTAGTGAGTGATACTGTGTAAGAAATAAAGCTGTCTTATATCATACATTCGAACATCTGCGTATAATTTTTCAGTGGGATAATGTTTCGGCTTTTTAAATATGTATCATTTTTAGAATACTTTTTTGAAAAACATCTAAATTATAGATATGTGAGGAACATGCAGCTCCCCATGCTAATATACCATATGTGAGATGAGGCTCAATCAGTGCATGGTATAATGTTCGAACATATTTTTCTGTCAATATATTCCCAAGGTATTTAATTTTGTAGGATACAAATCTAACTTTCTTTAAAATATAATTGACATGGATGTCCCATCTTAAGTGGGGATCCAAGACCACTCCAAGGTATTTTATGTTGGGCACTCTGTTAATTTGCATTTTTTGATCATTAATGTTGAACGAGAAATTTGTGTAATTTGGCAGATGTCTAGCATAAGATCCAAATGGTAAAAAATGTGTTTTAGAGTAGTTAATGCTTAATTTTCTACTGTTAAACCACCGAATAATTTTGATAAAATCATTTTCAATTACATTTTTCAGATCAGACCAGTCAGTGCCTTCATATAATATTGCAGTATCATCTGCAAAACTAGTTATTTTGCCAACACAATTAATTTGGAAAACATCATTTAAATATATATTGAATAACAGCGGACCTAAGACAGTTCCTTGTGAGACACCACACTTAATATACATTTCTTTACTAAATGATCCTGATATCTGCACAGATTGTGGGCGATTTGACAAATAATTTTCGATCAGTGAGTACGCGTTTCCTCTGAAACCAATTCTCTCCAATGCTTCTAATAATAATTTGTGATTAACTGTATCGAAAGCTTTCTTTAAATCAACAAAAATACAGATTGAAGGGATTCTGTTATCAATATTTTGATGTATTTGATTTACAATTTTAGTTATTGCGTCCGATGTAGCCTTCCCTTCTGTAAATCCATATTGATTTTCATTTAAAATTTTGAATTTTGTGAGGTATCGAATCATCCTAGTAGATAAAACTTTTTCAAAAACCTTTGCTACACTGGATATTATTGATATTGGTCTATAGTTGTTAACATCTGTTTTTGTTCCTGATTTATGTATCGGTATTATATTACCTTTTTTTAAAATTGAGGGATATACGCCAGATTCAAAGCATTTGTTGATTAGGTAAGTGAGTGGTTCTGTTATGTCCTCGGCTATAATTTTCAAATGCTCGCTTTTAATACCATCGAACCCAGGACTTTTCCGATTTTTTAAGGACATAACAGTGGTGTATACTTCACATTGTTCGACTTTATCCAAAATAAATGAGTTCAAAGTTCTTTTTGGAGGCTGAGTATTTTGTACATTTCCTTGTATATTACTTGCTAAATTTTCGCCTATGTCAGTAAAGAATTGTACAAATTCATCGCATATCTGTTGAGTATTTTTTAATACTGTTCCCGATGTTGTATTTAAAGTGTCACACTCTTTAAATTTTGTTTTCCCAGTAATCTCATCAATAGTTGTCCAAAACCGCTTAGGATCATTTAAGTTATTATTCAATTTATTTAGGTAATGTTTTCGTTTGGTTTGCCTTGCAAGCTCTATAAATTTATTTTTATATTGGTTGTAACAGTCGGTATTCTCTGTAGTTGGCGCTAGTTTCATTACATTATATAGTCTTTCTTTTTCTATTGCCGATGTTATTAATCCTTTGGTAATCCAGGCATTTCTGCTTTTCTCTTTGTGACTAATTATTACTTTATTGGTACTAATATCTATTAGTTTTTTTATTTTCTCTATGAACAGTCCCGTTGCTTTGTCTATATTATTTATAGAGTATAATTGTTCCCAGGATTCTTGTTTGACATTTGATATTAGTTTTGAATTGTCGACAAAAAATTTGTAATTTTCCTGGTTGTTATTAACGGTAGGGATGTTAGAATGTTTTTCATTTGAAGATATCAGTAAAATAGTGGAGAAGTGGTCAGTAATATCGCTTTCTAGGATTATTGGTATACAAGTAATTTTGTTGGATAGGTCTTTCACAAAGCAGTGATCTATACATGTGAAACTGATGGACCTTGTAGGTAGGTTTATATAGGACAGAAATCCGTTACTTGATAGGATATTCAAGTATTCATTTGTGATGGGATCATTGTCCAAAATATTTATATTGACATCTCCCAAGAAAATATGTTGCTTTAAATGAACTTTATTTTGATTTTGAAAAAAAAATCGATATTCTTCAAAAACTCGTGGGGTTCTGAACATGGCGGACGATAAATTGCAGATACCTCAATTTTGTTATGGTTAATTTGGATCATTATGTTTAAAATTTTGATTCCATCGGTGAAAGTGAATGTATCATGATTATATTGTAGCTCATTTCTTACAAAAACCATCACCCCATCGTTTTGGTTATAAGTGCCAAAGTTATACAGCGTGTCATATCCCTGCTGATTGAAGCAAGAAATATCAACCACGTTTCAGTTAAAACTATTGGATCAAAATTGTACCATATTTGGTCGAGTAGTATTTTTAAGTAATCAATGTTGTGTTTTATACTCCTTATGTTCATATTAAAAATTCGAAATTTTGCATCATAATTTTGTGTACATAAATTAAGTTCATCGACGTTTTGTGCTATATTTGTTGCAATATTTGGAATTTGGAAATCATTAATGTATTTATTCACTGACATTTTTAGGTCCTCTTTAGAGATAGGAGTATCAAAAGATGAACTTGAATTTTAAAAAAGTATCCTTAAGTTTTGTTGTTCCTGATAATATTTGTACGATGGACAGTTTTTGTCGGTAGGTGGTAATAATTAATAATTAATAATAATTAATCAAAAACACTGTTTAATTTTGAGAAAAATAATAATTAACTGTGACATTATGATACGCATAAAACTATAGATTGTATGACAGTTGACGGGGTATAGGTTTAAAGTAGGTATGTACTATCTCCATAGTATTGCTATAGACAGTTATTAATTTCGATAGCACAACTTTAAATAATCAGAGCATTTTTTACCATACAGGTTCTGCAATAATAATCATTTGCAAAACATAAAAATAGGTATCCTCGATACATTGAAACTGGTGTAGACATATAAATATACTGAGTGACAGAAAAAAGAACACCCGTTTGGGTATCAAGTGAAAGGATTTGATGAGGAAAGCATAATAAGCAAAGTGATGTTATTCTGAATCCAATATGGCGCCATGGCTAAATCGCGATATATAATTTTCATGGTCACCGCTATGAAGGAGCTTAAAAAGAGAAACACGATGAGTAAACAACATCACTCTAAATTCCATACGACATTATGAATTTGTTTGACATCATAAATACTTAAAAGTAAAAAAATAATAAAAGTAAGAAATACATTTTTGAAAACAAGCTTTCATTCGTCCCATTAACACCTCAACGGGACTACCTAACCATTGAAAAGTAATGTTTTCCGATTGGAAATATTTAAGCCATAATGGAGCTCCTTCATCTCAAGGTTTCAAATAAGTGTGTTGCGTTCAACAGCAAGATGGAAGAAGGGTGTAACAAGCTTTTATCTGAAAACTTGAGATAAAGGAGTCCCATTTTGGTTCAAATATTTCCAGTAGGGAAAACATATTATTAAATTTCTGGTTCGTCTCATTATCATCTAAATAAAAGCTTGCTTTTAAAAATGTATTTCTTTTTTATAATTTGTCCTTAACTTCCCTTCGTATAAGGAAGAGAAGTACTGTTACCATGGAAATTTTTATATTACCAAACAATAAGATGTGAATAAAACGTAAATCCACAGAACTCTATGACTTCCTGGACGAATGAAACCATGCTGGTCTGAAAGCCATTCCTTTAAAATTTACTCCATTTTTTGTTTATTAATTTTTAACTTTCAAAAGGTGATATGGTTTTTAATCAAATTATAGAAAATGAATCGGAGAGAAAACCACAATATAAGACTCAGAAGTAACATTACACTGATGCGGTAACCACTGGGTGAATGAATTGAAAATTATGTTTCATTTTTTGTACTGCAGCTTACATGGTTTATTAAAATTTTAGGGGAATAAACAAAGAGTTATCTTAGAGGAAACTTTCCTCTCAATTAATTTGAGCAAAAAATGATAATTGCCTCCTTAGAAGCAACATGCTGGGATGTATTCGTGGCCAAATCCAATTTAACTAAGACGATAATAATGATGTATGTCCTTAACACACGAATCTCGTTTCACTCAAGCAGCACAAAAACTCTTTAAAGAGCTTTTTAAGACCATGTAATTATTTTTATTATGACGCTAAGTCCGAGGAACAATTTAAGAAACAATAGGAGAGCGTGATTTTTATAAATATAAACTAAGCAAAGTTATAAATAGATCCTTGGTCGGTAATTATCTTTGGATTATGTAAAAAACATAAAACTCAGAGCCATATACCGTATTATGTTTTTTTCACATCGCTGTAGCATTTTATACTTGTGAGAAATGCTGTACAGCCAGGATTTTTGCGATGAATATAAGCATAAACCAGCAAAAGTGCATAAGTTGTAATGATCTAACAATTCCGGGAGAAGTGGGGGGGGGTTGTTATTAAGAGTTTATATTGCCATTATACAGCGTGTTCAAGATAAGAATCCTATGCATAGGGATCTCAACACATGTGAGAGATAAAGCTTAGGTTAAATTAGGAAAAAGCTGTGTTGTTTGTGATGTATTTATATGTCGCTGAGAAAATTTCATGGCTTACTGAGGTATTTAGGAAAAACTAAAAGTTGTCCAAATCGTTTTTATTTTTTCTGAGTTTATTTTAAGTAACATCAAAAATTTAATGGAACTTTCTCATTGGTACTGTTTAGACACTACATGATGGTGTTCTTAAATTTTGTGCCCGATGTTTCGTTTTTGAGGAACCATTATCAACTTTATTTCTATACGAGGGAAGTCTTTTAAGTTTTGCATTTGGAAATAAAACAACACGGTAGGTAGTTTTAAATGACTTTATTGTTTTTCGAACTATTCTCCACGAAGATTAATGCACATAGGCATGCACTCGAACCAATTTTCCAAGCACTTATTCCACTCGTTTGCTGGCAGATCCAAAACGGTATGTTTGAATGCGTCAACTGCTTCTTTTGCTGACTGGAACCTTTGACCACGCAATCTGTTTTTAATTTTCGGGAAAGTAAAGAAATCGTTAGGACTTAGGTCGGGACTATATGGAAAATGGTCCAATAATTCCACGTTTTCTTCCGTTGGGCTGTGTGCGAGCTTGCATTGTCTTGGTGGAGGATGATTCTTCTTTCGGGGTTGATTTTTCGAAGCTCGGTGATGACTTTTGGCAAACAAATGGTGGTACACCAATCCGCAGTAACAGTTCTTTGCTCATTAAGAGGAATTGTTGCAATATGACCCGCTTTTGACACAAATGTCGCGACCATCTTTTTCGAAACACTTCGAGAACGGACGACTTTTGTTGGCTTTTCTTCACCTTGGAACACCCAAACAGCCGAGTGCCGTTTATTTTCTGGTTCATAACAGTAAATCCACGATTCATCATCACTAACAATGCTGTACACATTTTTTGAATTTCTGGAATTGAAACGGTTTTTTGACACCAATTAAGCCTGGCTGCTTTCTGCTCTTCAGTCAACAGGTGGGGTTTCTAACGAGAAACTAATTTTCTTACTCCTAATTCCTCATGTAAAATTTTTTGAATTGAGGTCTTTGAGATCTTCAAGGACGCCTCAATCTGGCGATATGTCAATGATGAGTTTGCGCACAGCATCGACGTTTTCCTGGGTGACTGCTGTTTTTGGTGCACCCACCCTGGGATCGTCGCTAAGACTCACCCGTCCACGTTTGAATTCTCCATACGAACGGGAAATTGTCGACTGATGTGGCGCTTCGTTGCCGAAAACAGACAGTAACTCAGCAAGGCATTCTTGTTGCGATAATTGTCTCTGAAAGTTGTAATAATTTATAACGCGAAAATGTTGTGTCCCATTTTGATGTGTATGATAAGGGTCAATCTCGGTATGGGAACAGCATCATGACAGGTGACGAGACTTGGCTTTATTATTACGATGTGCCGACCAAGGCTCAAAACAAAGTTTGGGTCTTTGATGATGAGGACACACCACGTAATTGTCAGAAAATCCCGATCTGTTAAGAAAAAAATGATAAGTGTATTTTTCAAATCGAACGGGATTGTGGAGCGTGCCGTTTTGGACACACGGAAGACGGTCACAGCTAAGTGGTACATGGAACAGTGTCTGCCTAAAGTCATGAAGAACCTGCGGCCAAAATCAAGAATAGACACTTGGTACCTCCACCACAACAATGCTCCAACTCACCTCGCCAAACCCTGCACCGAGTATTTGACCACTACTGGACTGAAACTTATTGAGCACCCTCCTTACAGTTTAGATCTTGCTCTTTTGCTCTTTTCTTGCACTTTTTCCGCATGTAAAAATGAAGCTAAAAGGAAAGCGGTTTTCTAGCGATGAGGATCTTCTGAGGGATAACGAGTGTGCCGCAGTCTCGGGTGAAACTTGGCAGAGCTGGTTTAAGGACTGGTTTTGGCGGATGGAGAAATGTATTAAATGTAATGGAAATTATTTTGAATGAAGTCAATAAATAAAGCTGTATTGCAATACTTCTCGTGTTGCGTTTGAAGTTAGGCAAAAGTGACTGGTTGATTTGAATTTGAAAAACCAGTTTTGCCGGATTTCGCAATCCTTCACGCCTGGTCCTTTTTGACGATTGGACCAATTAACGAAAATTATAAATATTATTTTGTCTGTAATAGAGGGCTAAGGATTACTTGACGAATGCCACAAAAAGTGTACCTATGTTATATCTGAAAATTATACTTCCATTTGAAATTTGTTCGCGATTACAGAACTTCCCTTCATTAACTTGACTTAAACAATGAGCACCCTGTTTGAACGAATTATGAGGGATATGTAAGCCCCAAAAACATATATATCTATATACAGTGCAACCCGCTTATAATGGACTCGGCGGGACTGTGAATAGTGTATGAGCCACTTCCCACTTCAGTTGGCCCAGCTATTGAAATCTTAGTTTTTTTCTTATCAAACACAAATAATAAAAATGTAGCAGGGTGTTATAGATTTAAAATATTAACAATGAATATTTTGATAATATATAGTAGAAAACATCAACTTTATCACTCCCTAATCAAATTTGCAGCATAAAAATAACACATGTTGCAATTACAGCATATCAACCTATTTTCATTTCAATGCAAAAAACGCATAGGTGGCTGTGAAAAATAAAAGCCATGACAATTGTTTTTATTAATCACAGCTGTCAGAATACGTTTAAAATAGTTTTCGGTAGTTAAGGTTTTCAAAATGGGTAGAGGAAAGGTTATTAGTGAGAAAATTCGGTTACTGATAATTATATTTTTTAATTCTGGGAAATCAAACTCAGAAATTGCAACTTTGTTAGACTTATCGCGGTACAGTGTGAGAAATATTGTTAGAAGATATAACGTAACTGGTTCAGTTAATATTAAGCCACGATATGTGAAAAAAGTAATATCACAAATGCCGACCGAAGAGCATTAAGAAGAATAATCCTGAAAAACAGGCGTGCCAGTTATTTACAATTAAGTGCTCTGTGGAGTGACGCTGTTGGAAGGAAAATTTCGAGGTCCACAACTTATAGAGAGGCCCACAAACTGGGATTTAGCACTTGCATGGTAAGTTTTCTTATAAAAAAAGTGAAGTAAAAACCCTAAAGTTGCACAACTTGTTTATAGGCCAAAGAAAAGCCACTATTAACTCTGCAAAAGAAAAATTGGCTTAGATGGGCTAAAGAACATAGACAATGGACACCTCAACGATGGTGTGCGATGCAATGGAGTGATGAGGCCCGATTCGAAGTTTGTGTTGGTGACTGTCGCAGTAGAGTTATTCGCAAAAAAAATTAGCATTCCATGTTGACTGTCTGAAGAGAAAAGTGAAATTTCCAGCATCCATTATGGTCTGGGGCAGTATGTCATCAAAAGGAGTAGGAAAACTTCATTTTATTGATGGAGATGTGGATACAAACAAATATTTGGCAATTTTAGAAGAATCGCTTTTACCAGTGATGGAAGAATGTTTGACATCCGGCCAAGATTTTGTGTTGAGCAAGATGGTGCAGCGTGCCATACCTCAAAAAAGGCTATAAAATGGATGGAATAAAGTAATGTACCACTTTTGAAATGGGTTTCTAGCAGTCCAGATCTGTCTGCTATTGAAACTTTGTGGCACGAGATGAAAAAGGTTCTACGACAACATCCTGCTCGTACAATCACCGAACTGAGACAAAAGCTTCAAGAAATATGGGATTGTTTTACACCAAATTTTTGCCAAAACTTGGTTAACACTATGCCCCAAAGAATTTCAGCCGTAATAAAAAATAAAGGTGTTGTTACCCAATGGTAATCTTTCAATTGTTGCTTTGTTAACTTCGCGCATTTATTCGCACATTGTTTATTTGTTCAGATGTTCTATTAGTTATAGGTCTAAGTGATTTCAAATATGTATTTTTTTTCGACTAGTGTATCTAAAATGTGTTTGAGAAAATAAATTGTTTTAGAAGTAAATAGTTTCGTCATGTTCAGTTTAAAAAGGCATATTTTGGTACAAATCTTGAAGTGGGCCAACTGAAGTGGGAAGGGGCTCGTATTATAGGCGGATGGCCATCTTAAAGGACATACCTTTTTTTAATGAAAAAAAAAACAGCAGAAATAACATATTAAAAGCTTAAAATGTGTTTATTAAACATGTATTACATAAATAAAGATACATACCAAACCCAACTAGCAAAGTAGTGCTATAAGCTTTTGGTAAAAGAACTGTTCAGCCGTAAAAGCTCTCTATTGTTGTTGCCAGAACACCAAAATGCTGGCTTAATGTTGTTTGGAATGCAAACTTTCTTTCTGCAGCATATTTGCTCTAAAATGAGGTGTTTAAAATATCCTTATATACAACACCTTATAGGACGAATTTTCAACGGTTGCATAAACGTTTATACAAGTATTTTATACGGCATAACTGTTAAAGGCTGTACATCTGCAACCATATTACAACTTTTATAGTACAAAATTGTTGTGCTCGGCAGACATTTGTTGCAAAATATGCTGGTATACAACTTCACCATAACCTAACTTTCTCCTGTGATCTTTTTAGTTAAAATGCCATAACCAATATTTTAAGACATGCATATTGGTTTAAAAGGTTTTATCAACTGTTCAAACAGGAGATACCTGTATAGATCTGGTAGAAATTCGGAGTAAATCATTCGACTCTGTCCATATTTCATTTTAGAGATTTGTCAAAATGTTGTATAACACTTGCAGACAACACCAAAATATTCTAATAAACCAAAGAAAACATGCACGATGCCATGATTATATATAACCACCCGCCATATTGGGCAAAAATATATTCCTCTATTGAAAATTAATTAATTACGTTTCAGTTCGACATTACAGATATAGAGTGATAAAGATTAGTGTAATCGTGGCTAAATATAGGATTTGTAGAAGATTTAACGCAGATAAGTTCAGTTTTTCATCTTAAAAATCTAAACATACTTTTGATCATTATTAAAATATGAATCAAATACGAAGCCCGTACAAATTGCATAACTGCTTTGCACGATAATCACAATAAAATTTGCTGCCCAAGTAATTCAATAGCCGTGTAGAAGTTTATGCCTGTGTATGAGATTAACAATGGCGGATATGTAAGTAAACAAGATGACTGTAATGTGCTAGTTATTACCTATACAATACCTAAGAAATAGTTTGGTTGCAATAAAGTAGAATCATGTAACAGAATAGTTGTATAGTTGACAAAAACTGAATCTTGCACCGACGCAAATGTTCTATAGGGGCTGCAAGAGGTTTACACTTTTATTGATAACTGTTACCTGCAGCCCTTATACAATCTCTTAAATGACTGAAGCGTCCTATTAGGTCTGCCATTTCGCTTGTATAGCTGTTCTAAGAGCGTTTTGCCAATGTTCTTACAGCATACAATGCTGTGAAAGGAAGACTGTATAATCGTTCTTGCAACTCTAAAAGAAAGAGTGATAATTGTTAGTTGGGAAAAGTTACATGTAATTTTGAAGTTTGCATTTGTTCAGAATCTGATACACATATCACAGGCATATTCCTACGTACTGTGTAGGTATGTGTAGAAACCGTTAATCATTTGGTAAAAAAGCTAGTAATTTTCATTTGAACATATTGTTTTTTTGTATAATTATTTAAAACAGCAAGTTGAATTTTATTTAATTTTGTAAGTGCTACTGTACTGTCTTCTTCTTGCTGAAAATAACGTTGCAACTTTTTCACGCAGTCTAATGCCTCCTTAGTTGCCACTGGAAGCTCATTTTCATCGTTGTTTTTTAGT